GGTGTGTGAGTGAACGGTGTGTGAGTGAATGGTGTGTGAGTGACTGGTGTGTGAGTGAACGGTGTCTGAGTGACTCGTGTGTGAGTGACTGGTGTGTGAGTGAACGGTGTGTGAGTGAATGGTGTGTGAGTGACTGGTGTGTGAGTGAACGGTGTCTGAGTGACTCGTGTGTGAGTGACTGGTGTGTGAGTGAACGGTGTGTGAGTGAATGGTGTGTGAGTGACTGGTGTGTGAGTGAACGGTGTCTGAGTGACTGGTGTGTGAGTGACTGGTGTGTGAGTGAACGGTGTGTGAGTGAATGGTGTGTGAGTGACTGGTGTGTGAGTGACTGGTGTGTCAGTGACTGGTGTGTCAGTGAGCCCCAGTTAGAGCCCCAGCCTGGGTTGTTCCCTGCCTTGAACCCATTGCCTCCAGGATCGGCTCCCTGCCACCCGGCATATGACAAGTGAGTACAGGAAATGGATGGATGGATGGATGGATGCAAAGATGGATGGATGGATGGGTGGGTGGGTGGATGGATGGATGGATGTGTCCTAATTGCACTAGGGGGGGGGGGATTTCAGCAATACAGTCACTGTGCTTGTCCAGGTACTTCAGCTCCTTCCTGCAGTCTCAAAAATGCAGCTTTTGTGACTTGGCATCTCTGAATTGTCTGCAGTGTGCGTGCATGTGCCCCTCTGTTGGCTAGCACTGCCTGCCTTGTGCCCCTTCCTGCTACCCTGCATTACATAAGCAATCAGAAGATGGATACAGCGTAACTTTAGAGAAGGCGATTCATGGCCCAGAGAGAATCCCCAAGACATGTGCCTTGATCCCACTGAATTGCAGGATTAATTCATCACACCGTTTGTTTTCACATGGGATTCATAGCTCATCAAATGAACCCCCCCAAGCTGGCAGAATTACAAGGAAAAAGTCTGTTTTGTGGGAACTGTGAGTGGTTTTAGCCAACAAACCCAGGACCATTATTATGGTTGCGCATTGTACTGTCACACACTGACACAACAGTTCTTTCTAACACTGTAAACAGCATAAAGTAAATGCATTAATTAAAAAAGGATTCCACATTGTCAGGAAAAAAGTGTAGAGCCCTGGTACAGTTTTGTACCCCAAGTTACAAACAACATTAATATACCCCCATTGGCACAAAAACGGTCCTCAGAGTCCATTTCCGTACCTTAAAATTGGTACTTTTTCCGACAGTGCAGTTTATCTGGAAACCATAATGGCACATTAAGAATGCTGACGTGTTTGCAAGCTCCTGCACTGGTGAGAATAAATGTTGTTTCATATGTAACATTTCTCTTGTGTTTAGGTGTTGTACCATCTTCATAAGAAAATAAAGAACATGTCAAGGAAATCTGAGCGTTCAAAGAAAAAGGTAAGAATTTAGTGGGTTATGCCATTTTCCTTCCATATCAATCCATTTTTACCTTCTGGAGTCTAAGTTATGAACATGAAATCGATGTAACTGTAGCGGTTAGAACCTAAAGGTAAAATTCGGCAGGTCCAGACAGACAAATAGGACACATATAGTCAGAGAAACGCGGCAAAAAAATACGTATTAATATTCACTGTAAAAGTTTTAATAGGCGTCTCCATAAAATAAAGCATACAAATAAATTATGCAAATTTTACAGTATAACAAAATGCATGAATGCAGTATTATTAAATTACTCTGGTTGTGCAGAGTACATGCATTTAATAGACTCGTGCAAGTTGAACAAGAAAAGTGAAACTTTTTTGGATGAGAGGGAGTGAATTTGCCAAATCTTCCTGTATAATAATGTTATTAATATGTTTGTTTCAATGCTGTCCAGTTTACAGAGCTCTTCTACTTGCATGTTTTATTATCATTATTAGAACCCTTCTGTTGTACCTATGACTGGTGCTCTTTGTGTCATTGTCAGACGGTGTCACCACAAAGGTCTCACACATGGGTTGAAAGCTGCAAGGACACGCTAGACTAGATTTTCCCACAGTTGTGGATGAAAGTGATGAACGCTTTTAAAGGTTAACTGAATTAGAAGCTTTGCCGCAGAATAAGCCTCCTTCCGAATAAAACCACATGATTTCGATATTAGCATTAATCATCATAATGATGATTGCCTTCATTTCACTGATCAGATCCTGCTTGTAATGATTAAACTAATTCATTTGCAAATTTTAATGATGTTTTTTACAATGCTCAGTTCAAGATCCACTTTTCCGGCATCTGCGTGGATAGAATTCCGGATTGAAATTGACAGGTCCAGCGTAGTGAAATGCCAGACTATTAGTGATCTACAATTAGCATGTAATGTTAGAATCACATCTGAGTGTCGGCTCAGTGGTTAGTTTACTATTAACAGAAACTAGTAGCTCAGTTACAGATGGCGATTGTTTAATTATACTAAAATAAAGAATTTACCTGGGCGGCTTAGTGGTTAGCACCTTTGCCTCACTCCTCTAGGATTGCAGAATTGGGGTTCGAAATGCGCCATTGTGTCTGTGTGTGTGGTTTCCTTCAGCTTGAGGTTATAATATGAGTCCAATAATACGCAACTGGATGGAAGGGTGACTCTACACTGTGAGTGTGTATATGCCCTGTGACGGGCGGCATGTCTGCACAGGGGGTCTCCCATCGTATGCCCTGTGACGGGCAGCAT